CTAGTTCAGTTCTAGTTCAGTTCTAGTTCAGTTCTAGTTCAGTTCTAGTTCAGTTCTAGTTCAGTTCTAGTTCAGTTCTAGTTCAGTTCAGTTCTAGTTCAGTTCTAGTTCAGTTCTAGTTCAGTTCTAGTTCAGTTCTAGTTTCAGTTCTAGTTCAGTTCTAGTTCAGTTCTAGTTCAGTTCTAGTTCAGTTCTAGTTCAGTTCTAGTTCAGTTCTAGTTCAGTTCTAGTTCAGTTCTAGTTCAGTTCTAGTTCAGTTCTAGTTCAGTTCTAGTTCAGTTCTAGTTCAGTTCTAGTTCAGTCTAGTTCAGTTCAGTCTAGTTCAGTTCTAGTCTAGTTCAGTTCTAGTCTAGTTCAGTTCTAGTCTAGTTCAGTTCTAGTCTAGTTCAGTTCTAGTCTAGTTCAGTTCTAGTCTAGTTCAGTTCTAGTCTAGTTCAGTTCTAGTCTAGTTCAGTTCTAGTCTAGTTTAGTTCTAGTCTAGTTCAGTTCTAGTATAGTTCAGTTCTAGTCTAGTTCAGTTCTAGTCTAGTTCAGTTCTAGTCTAGTTCAGTTCTAGTCTAGTTCAGTTCTAGTCTAGTTCAGTTCTAGTCTAGTTCAGTTCTAGTCTAGTTCAGTTCTAGTTCAGTTCTAGTTCAATTCTAATATAGTGATAATTTAGTTTTAGTTCAATTCTAATTCTGTTCTCTTTAAGTTCTAGTTCAGTTCGAGTTCATTACAACTTTTCATCCGATCCTCGTTAGTAATAATAACAGTTTTGTGCTTATTTAAAAACATATTTCCCTGTCGTTTAGTCAAGTTAAGTTTTGTATGTTGGTAAGTCTGTTCTGTCTGTCCGTGCGTCTATATGTTTGCTGCTTTGGTCTGTTAAGTTACTATAAGTTGAATCCATTATAATAACAACAACAGAAAAACTTAAAGAAGAAACATCAACAACAAACAGACAAAAATAGCTGCAAGATATATTTTTGTATATGAGTGTTGTGTTATACAGGAAAAATATCAAGGAAGTTGGAAAAAAGTATGATGACGAGTATAAAAATATAAGAATGTACTTATGAGTAAACAAAAGAGTATCGTTTGAAACTGGTGATGGTACCTTTTTGAGGACTTGAAAGATTTTGGCAGTAAAAGCGATGTAGCAAAGATAGTATATATTTTTGAATTTAGAACCTGTTCATATTTTAATGTTATGAGAATTCTTAAGCTGCATCATGAGAAGTTAAATTTGTCTCAATTAATTAATTTCATTTAAAAGTTTGGTGCTTCTCTTACATAGAACTCAAAAAGTACCATTTTTCAAATTCCCGGGTACTTATATTAGACATGCCTACAAGAGAGAGAGAGAGAGAAGAAACTAAAAAGAGACTAAGCCAAAGGATATGAAGAAAAAAAAGAGAGTAGAAAACAAACATATTTCGAAACACATACACACGCATATAATTTATATTCCTTAACAAATACATATTTATACGTAACAAGTGTAAATGTATTTGTATAAATGAAAAGAATTGTTAAATAAAATTAAAAGAATTTATAATGACAATGGCGTCAAACGACAATGGCAACAGCAAAAACAACAAGAATAATACAATAAAGTTAAAAAACTACTATAGTTTTTGTTTGTTTGTATAATTTTATTGTTGTTACAAAAGAATTTGTTTCAGGTTTTTTTGTTATTGTACAAAAATGTTTGCATAATAATTAAAATGAAGTTAATTTTCTTATTACGTTTAAGTCTTTTTATTTTTGCCTTTTTCTTTGTGTTTTTATTATTTTATATGTCTTTTTCTCAATGAAATTATTGATGGTGGAATTGAATGTAAATTATTTAAAAAACATTTGGAATACGGCTCTACGGATCTTGATATATAGAGATGATATCATCAAAATGAAATAACGAAATGTTCAGGGATTGTAGTACTTCTTCTTAAAGCTTTTATCACAAATTTTTCAAGATCATTGAATTGTTTAGCAACATTGTTGCGCTTATCAGTTCTTATTGATAAATTCATTTAATTTAACATATTCACTTGATGAACTGTTGCCAAAAAACAACACCATGTTTAACAACATTGTTGCATAAGGTATACCCAACATGATGCTTAACAGTGTAAAGGAAATTTTGGTATTGTTTTCATTAAATTCCATTAATGAAACATTTAAGCAACAAATAAAATGCTAACAACAAAATCATACAATATTTAGCAACATTATTGCGCTAGTCATACAAAAAAACTCACAAACCCAATATAAAAACTGTTAAATTAATAATTTAGAATTTTAAAAAGTAAGCAACATATTGCTAAACATTGTAGGTGAACTTATATAAAAACATTTTAAATGTTGCTTATTGGGTTTATGCGAAAAAAATAATTAAGAATTTTACATAAAATTTAAACTGGATTTCTAATCATATTTTGCTTTTTCAAAAACATAATCTCTTAGTAAATAAATTTCTCCTCTGCGATAGTATAACAAATATTGATGATTAATTTAGAATAGAAATTCGATGGCAACCAATGTTCACTACTGGATTCTTCCTGTTCTGTAATTTCCCAAAATTGTGATTCTGTCATGTTGAGTAAATTTAAAAAGCAAAATATTAACACTAAAATTTGTTCATGTGAACGCATTGCTTAAACTGCAGTAAACGAATAAATAACTGAAATATTAATTATTTTATTGAACTCTTTGAAATTGTTGTAAATGCTAATGTAAGTAGTTTTGTGTTCCAAATACAAAAAAATAACATATTGACAAGTTAAGGAAAAAATATAAATAGCATATGTTATTAACATTTCTGCTTATGTTGACAATTTATTTTGTGAAAATTACAAATTGAAATTGTAGAAGTTAAAGACAGAGGCGTAGTTTAGGTTGTCAAAATAGGAGACACGGAAGAGTATAATTGTTTACAGAACTAGTTCAGTTCTAGTTCAGTTCTAGTCCAGTTCTAGTTCACTTCTAGTTCAGTTCTAGTTCAGTTCTAGTTCAGTTCTAGTTCAGTTCTAGTTCAGTTCTAGTTCAGTTCTAGTTCAGTTCTAGTTCAGTTCTAGTTCAGTTCTAGTTCAGTTCTAGTTCAGTTCTAGTTCAGTTCTAGTTCAGTTCTAGTTCAGTTCTAGTTCAGTTCTAGTTCAGTTCTAGTTCAGTTCTAGTTCAGTTCTAGTTCAGTTCTAGTTCAGTTCTAGTTCAGTTCTAGTTCAGTTCTAGTTCAGTTCTAGTTCAGTTCTAGTTCAGTTCTAGTTCAGTTCTAGTTCAGTTCTAGTCAGTTCTAGTCAGTTCTAGTTCAGTTTCTAGTCAGTTCTAGTTCAGTTCTAGTTCAGTTCTAGTTCAGTTTCTAGTCAGTTCTAGTCAGTTCTAGTTCAGTTCTAGTTCAGTTCTAGTTCAGTTCTAGTTCAGTTCTAGTTCAGTTCTAGTTCAGTTCTAGTTCAGTTCTAGTCAGTTCTAGTTCGTTCAGTTCGTTATAGTTCAGTTCTAGTTCAGTTCTAGTTCAGTTCTAGTTCAGTTCTGTTCAGTCTAGTTCAGTCTAGTTCAGTTCTAGTTCAGTTCTAGTTCTAGTTCAGTTCTAGTTCAGTTCTAGTTCAGTTCTAGTTCAGTTCTAGTTCAGTTCTAGTTCAGTTCTAGTTCAGTTCTAGTTCAGTTCTAGTTCAGTTCTAGTTCAGTTCTAGTTCAGTTCTAGTTCAGTTCTAGTTCAGTTCTAGTTCAGTTCTAGTTCAGTTCTAGTTCAGTTCTAGTTCAGTTCTAGTTCAGTTCTAGTTCAGTTCTAGTTCAGTTCTAGTTCAGTTCTAGTTCAGTTCTAGTTCAGTTCTAGTTCAGTGCTATTTCAGTTCTAGATCAGTTCTAGTTCAGTTATAGTTCAGTTCTAGTTCAGTTCTAGTTCAGTTCTAGATCAGTTCTAGATCAGTTCTTGTTCAGTTCTAGTTCAGTTCTAGTTCAGTTCTAGTTCAGTTCAGTTCTAGTTCAGTTCTAGTTCAGTTCTAGTTCAGTTCTAGTTCAGTTCTAGTTCAGTTCTAGTTCAGTTCTAGTTCTAGTTCAGTTCTAGTTCAGTTCTAGTTCTATTCAGTTCTAGTTCAGTTCTAGTTCAGTTCTAGTTCAGTTCTAGTTCAGTTCTAGTTCAGTTCTAGTTCAGTTCTAGTTCAGTTCTAGTTCAGTTCTAGTTCAGTTCTAGTTCAGTTCTAGTTCAGTTCTAGTTTCAGTTCTAGTCAGTTCTAGTTCAGTTCTAGTTCAGTTCTAGTTCAGTTCTAGTTCAGTTCTAGTTCAGTTCTAGTTCAGTTCTAGTTCAGTTCTAGTTCAGTTCTAGTTCAGTTCTAGTTCAGTTCTAGTTCAGTTCTAGTTCAGTTCTAGTTCAGTTCTAGTTCAGTTCTAGTTCAGTTCTAGTTCAGTTCTAGTTCAGTTCTAGTTCAGTTCTAGTTCAGTGCTATTTCAGTTCTAGATCAGTTCTAGATCAGTTCTAGTTCAGTTATAGTTCAGTTCTAGTTCAGTTCTAGATCAGTTCAGTTCAGTTCTAGTTCAGTTCTAGTTCAGTCTAGTTCAGTTCTCGATTATATAGTTGACTATAATCTCGGCAAGATGGTTGTTTACAGTCCCAACTACAGTGTTTGCAATCTTAATTAAAAATTTATTAAATACAAATTGTCCCCTTAATTACATCACGACCCTGTCATTTATTTAATAATCTATAAACTTGTTGATATTGTCTTTTAATTTTCACTCTCCCCCTCATAATTTCTTAAAAAACTTTACAACAAATTTGTATATTTTTTTACCAATATTTCGTAATTTCTTCTTTTCGATTAATATGTTTGTTTATGGTTGCATTTTCTTTTAATTATTTTTTTTTTTGTTACATTACTGTCCCACATCCAGTATTCTGCTGAAAATGCAATATAATATGCTGGAAATCATTTATCGGGGTATAAAATAAGAGTTTTTGCATTTTTTCGACAGTAGTTAACTTTAATTGTGTGATTAACGAATTCAAATTGATAGAAACGACAAAAATGAAATCGTTTACTTTGTTTGCCTTTGTGTGTTTGGTGTCTTGTGTGAGGGGAGATACTATACAGTTGGAACCTTCAGAGGGTATTTTAATACCAGCACCAGTTGCTGAATCATTACGTTTTGCTCGTTCGGCCTATGGTGGATATTCGGCTGCTCCAGCATATGCACCACCTGCTCCTCCTTCGTATGCAGCTCCAGCTGCACCATCGTATGCGGCTCCAGCTGCTCCTTCATATGCAGCACCTGCAGCTCCATCTTATTCCGCTCCAGCGGCTCCATCTTATTCCGCTCCAGCAGCTCCTTCTTATGCAGCACCTGCTGCTCCATCTTATGCTGCTCCTGCTGCACCATCTTACTCAAAACCATCGGCTCCTTCTTACTCAGCACCAGCTGCTCCTTCATATGCAGCTCCAGCTGCTCCTTCGTATTCAGCTCCAGCTGCTCCTTCATACTCAGCTCCAGCTGCTCCTTCATACTCGGCGCCAGCTGCTCCCTCATATTCCGCTCCTGCTGCTCCTTCATATTCTGCACCAGCCGCTCCATCATATTCAAAACCAGCAGCTCCTTCTTATTCGGCCCCTGCTGCTCCTTCTTACTCACCGCCTTCATATTCGAAACCAGCTGCTCCCTCATACTCAAAACCAGCTGCCCCTTCTTACTCAGCTCCAGCTGCCCCATCCTACTCAGCTCCTGCTGCTCCTTCCTACTCAGCTCCTGCCGCCCCATCATACTCAAAACCAGCTGGTCCTCCAGCATACTCACCACCCTCATATTCATTGGCTTCACCATCACCCGCTTATGCAGCACCAGCACCAGCTCCTGCTTATTCCAAACCAGCCGCTCCTGCTCCAGCATATTCTGCTCCAGCCCCCGCCCCTGCACCCGCCTACAAACCAGCCGGTATACCAGCACCACCATGTCCCAAAAACTATTTGTTCAGTTGTCAACCGAAATTGGCACCAGTTCCTTGTGCTGCTCCTGCTGCTTCCTATTCTGGTGCTTACTCCCACTATGTGCCACAATACGCCATTCCAGTTGTCAAGGAATTGTATTGAGAATCTTATTGTTAATCATCGGCTTTAGACAAATAATTCAATTTAAATTTAAGATCAATAAAATGCATTTATAAAAAAAATCAAAGCAGTTTCTCAGGATTCCGATTTTCAACATTATTCATACATGTTGCTGACAACAACAGATAATTGCCAAATTTCTGGCAACATTGTTAAAAAACAAAATTTAAATTGTCCATTTGACATTCAAGAATAGATACAATTTACTTCTAATGTTGCTGAAACATTTTTGATGCTGACAACATGTTGCAGGAAGAAATCTCTTGTATTTATAAGAAATCCAGCAAAATTTTAGAACCTAAATTTTAAAATTTTTCCTAAAATATTGCCGCCAACTCTGCTATTTTAAGATAGAATGAAAATATTGTTTTAAAAACATGACACTGACGCATTGATTTAATTATTAAAACCTGCAACAAAATTCAAAGATAGAAATTTTTTTTCAATTGTTTAATATTCCTGTAAAATTCATTCAATGTTTTATTTGTAATGTTTTTTTTTTCATGGGAATTACTGTTGAAAAATCAACAGAAAGAACAACTATTAGTTTGCTGCATGTTTGGGGGAATTCGCTTGTAATGAATGCTACATTTCCACCAACTAACTACAGACCATCAACCATGACTACCCAACTAATATTGTTTTAAATGCAATAAATGTTGTTTCAATTTATCATTTTATATTTTTTTGTGTTTATCCATGCTATTGCAATGATGTTGTGAAATTGTTTTTCTTCTTTTTTTTTATATTAAAATTACATATAAAGAAAACATTTACAAACATACACTTTTCAATTTTTAGCCATTTTGTTATAACGAACATTGTATAAAATCAATGTGTAATGTTTGTAAAAGTGTGAAAATATGTTTTTGTAATTTTTTTTGATGCACTAGTTGTTTGTTAACAATATGTTAATAAAATAATGTTAGATGGAAAGAATTAGTATAGTATTATTGAATAGAGCGAAAGACTTATTTGTAAATGTTGCCAAAGTGAACAAAATATTTAAAATTTTTTATATTTTCGAAATTATTGCACTAACTAAAATACAATTTATGATATGAGTAGGCTTTACTCCTGTAAATATATCGTTGGAATATATTAAAAACCCTCCATCAACAAGCTTTAGTTCAAATCAGTTCTAGTTCAGTCAAGTTCAGTTCTAGTTCAGTTCTAGTTCAGTCTGTCAGTTCTAGATTCAGTCTAGTTCAGTTCTAGTTCAAGTTTCTAGTCAGTTCTAGTTCATTCTAGTCAGTTCAGTTCGTTCTAGTTCAGTTCTAGTTCAGTTCTAGTTTCAGTTCTAGTTCAGTTAGTCAGTTCTAGTTCAGTTCTAGTTCAGTTCTAGTTTCAGGTTCTAGTGTCAAGTTCTAGTTCAGTTCTAGTTCAGTCTAGTTCAGTTCTAGTTCAGTTCTAGTTCAGTTTTCTAGTTCAGTTCTAGTTCAGTTCTAGTTCAGTTCTAGTTCAGTTCTAGTTCAGTTCTAGTCAGTTCTAGTTCAGTTCTAGTTCAGTTCTAGTTCAGTTCTAGTTCAGTTCTAGTTCAGTCTAGTTTCATTTCTAGTTCAGTTCTAGTTCAGTTCTAGTTCAGTTTAGTTCAGTTCTAGTTCAGTGTTCTTTTATAGTTCAGTTCTAGTTCAGTTCTAGTCAGTTCTAGTTCAGTTCTAGTTCAGTTCTAGTTCAGTTCTAGTTCAGTTTCTAGTTTCAGTTTCTAGTTCAGTTCTAGTTCAGTTCTAGTTCAGTTCTAGTTCAGTTCTAGTCAGTTCTAGTCAGTTCTAGTTCAGTCTAGTTCAGTTCTAGTTCAGTTCTAGTTCAGTTCTAGTTCAGTTCTAGTTCAGTTCTAGTTCAGTTCTAGTTCAGTTCTAGTTCAGTTCTAGTTCAGTTCTAGTTCAGTTCTAGTTCTAGTTCAGTTCGTTCAGTTCTAGTTCAGTTCTAGTTCAGTTCTAGTTCAGTTCTAGTTCGTTCTAGTTCAGTTCTAGTTCAGTTCTAGTTCAGTTCTAGTTCAGTTCTAGTTCAGTTCTAGTTCAGTTCTAGTTCAGTTCTAGTTCAGTTCTAGTTCAGTTCTAGTTCAGTTCTAGTTCAGTTCTAGTTCAGTTCTAGTTCAGTTCTAGTTCAGTTCTAGTTCAGTTCTAGTTCAGTTCTAGTTCAGTTCTAGTTCAGTTCTAGTTCAGTTCTCTAGTTCAGTCAGTCTAGTTCAGTTCTAGTTCAGTTCTAGTTCAGTTCTAGTTCAGTTCTAGTTCAGTTCTAGTTCAGTTCTAGTTCAGTTCTAGTTCAGTTCTAGTTCAGTTCTAGTTCAGTTCTAGTTCAGTTCTAGTTCAGTTCTAGTTCAGTTCTAGTTCAGTTCTAGTTCAGTTCTAGTTCAGTTCAGTTCAGTTCTAGTTCAGTTCTAGTTCAGTTCTAGTTCAGTTCTAGTTCAGTTCTAGTTCAGTTCTAGTTCAGTTCTAGTTCAGTTCTAGTTCAGTTCTAGTTCAGTTCTAGTTCAGTTCTAGTTCAGTTCTAGTTCAGTTCTAGTTCAGTTCTAGTTCAGTTCTAGTTCAGTTCTAGTTCAGTTCTAGTTCAGTTCTAGTTCAGTTCTAGTTCAGTTCTAGTTCAGTTCTAGTTCAGTTCTAGTTCAGTTCTAGTTCAGTTCTAGTTCAGTTCTAGTTCAGTTCTAGTTCAGTTCTAGTTCAGTTCTAGTTCAGTTCTAGTTCAGTTCTAGTTCAGTTCTAGTTCAGTTCTAGTTCAGTTCCAGTTTAGTTATAGTTCAGTTCCAGTTCAGTTCTGCTCGAGAATCGGCCTAATTAACTTATTTGTGACTGTTTTTCAAGAGGAACTTTAAGGGGAATTGTATAAAATTGTAGACTGATTTTGCAGACAGTTTTTATACCCTACACCACTTTAGTGGGGAGGGTATATTGGATTTGTGCAGATGTTTGTAACATACAAAAATATTCGTCCTAGACCCACCTTAAAGTATACCAATCGGCTTAGAATCGTTTTCTGAGTCGATTAAGCGTCCGTCCGTCCGTCTGGCTGGCTGTACATGTAAACCTTGTGCGCAAGGTACAGGTGCAATTTTCAAGATAACTGGATGAAATTTGGCACGCACGTTTTATTTGAGCCAAGGACGAAGCCTATTGAAAATGGTTAAAATCGGTCCATTATTTCACCTAGCCCCCATAGAACAGAACCCCCGAAAGGGCTTCTGAGCTCATAATTATGTTAAATATACAGATATATCGATAAAATACGGCACAACTAAGTTTTACAGAAGTCTTGATAACCCTGCCAAATTTCATAAAGATCGGGCCCCATTCGACCCTAGCTCCCATACAAAGTCCCCTTCAGAAAATTATTTGAATGTCCCAAATTAACTTATAAACACAAATATCGCGATGAAATTCAGCACAATAAAATATTATGTAAATATAAATATATTCACAAAATTTTATCGGGCTTGGTCCATATTTGCCCCTAGCCCCCATATAAAGCCTTTTTCAGAAAATTAGTTTTTCATCCATAAATTGCTTAAATGTGTCGGAACAAGGGAATATTGAAGATAAATACTTTATTATGAAAATAAATACATTTAATATTCATAACTGGTGTAGGGTATCATATGGTCGGCCAGGCCCGACTATACTTTCTTACTTGTTAACATTGTGCTTTCAACTGGAAAACGAACGGACGTCCGCTAGATCGCCTTAAAATCTAGTATCTAAGGACCAATGATATAAATACTTCAATGGGTTTTATATTTGGCAAACAAATCGACGGATTTAAAAAATTGAATCCACCCAATATATTCAGTTTTATTAGTCTTACATATTTTCTCATTTCTTTTATAGTAAATTATTGTTTAAATCCTTAGTGCTGCTCCTCTATATTCCTACAAAAAAAAGAAACAAATTTTTAATTCCCTCCTTTACAAAAGCAACAAAAATGTTAAAATC